GTTGATTTTGCTTCATCTGCTCACCACCTTTTAGTTGAATTGTCCTTAAATTTCCTTCACTTATTCTTTTGTCATGCACTGTTTCCTGACAGGATCCGGGCCAATATATGATCAGCAAAAACTTAATGACTTGGGTTCCCTAAGCTTGGTGAGCAGCAAGCAGGTGAAGAAAGTTGCTTAGGTTCTCAGGTGGGCATCCCCAATGTCCCTGTAGATATGACCAAGGAACAGGAAAATTAACTTAAGAGGACAGAGCAGAGAGCCGTGCAGAGGGATGGACTGGGAAACTTCTCTCTGGGAGCAGAATAGAGGCAGAATCAAGGAATGTTCCCTAGCACAAGGGGACAGGGCCCTCACACTGTCTGACTAATGGGATGCCAGAATTTTTGTGATCACTGAATGCTATGCATTTCCCACTTTCCTTCCCTTTTGAATGAGCATAAGCTACTGTGATTATTCTGTTGCATTTCACTTGAGTATGTTGGGGAAGATGACTTATTTTTTAAATTTATTTGTCTGTGGTCAAGCGGACTCATGTGAGGAAGAAAAAGGGGTGGGGAGAACTTGATCCCATGACCAAATGGGACTTGGGATTTTATATCTCGAGAATATTATGAGTGTACTTAGCATGAGAAGAGGAGAATAAGCTGAATATTTGGTGGCCAGCAGGGTGGTAGCCACTGATTCAGCTCACCAAATATTTCAGGTTTTCTTCCTTCTGAATTTATGATCATTTCTGCCTATCTGGAGTTAAATGATCATATTGCTTGATTTGGCCAATAAAATGGATGTGTGCTGTGCCTGGGTAGAAGCTCCAAAAGATCCAGTGTTATTTGCAATGATTGCATTTTCCATAGTAACCAGCTATGTCAGCTCCATTGGCCTTTGGCTCTAGAGTGAGAAGTGACACGGAGAAGAGTCCACTGTTGGACATGCTTTAGGAGTAAGAACTAAAACTTCATAGTTTTAATTCATTGGATTTTTTATAAAAAACATTAAAAAAATTACAACCTAACCCCGCTTTTCTTTACTTGAACTGTAGTAAGGATAATTCTATCCAGGGAAGACAGCATGTTCACATAGGCCTGAAATGTCATGCCATTGGCATACCAGAGTGGATACTTTGCTGGGCAAGGGGAGTAGCTCTCTTGAGAAAAGAGGAAGCTGGTGGACCATTCAATGCCATTCAGAGGACTGTGGATTTTATTCTATCTGTGTGAAGGGGGTAGTAAAGTAGAGGAAAGACTTCATCAGTGTGTAGGGGCAGACTGGAGCAAAGTTGGGTTGGTGATTAATAGGAGATGATGATTGGGACAGTGAGGAATCCAAAATAACTCTGAGGTAATTTAGGGGAGTTTGCCTTTGCTGTTTTCAGCAAGCAGCCTGACTAGAAGTCAAGGATAACATGTTGTCTGGGCTGGGGCACAAGAGGTGGTTGTGAAGGTCATGGATACCATCTCTCTCTCTCTCTCCCTCAGCAGAAGGGGTGGCTGTTGTGGATATGCCTATGGGTACATTTTTTACTTCATTTCCTCTTCTGGTGAAGAGCCCAAAGACAGATGCTGAAGTTTGTGTCTGGAGTATTCCCCAAAAGTCCACATATAAAGGTTTGTTTCTCAGCCTGTGGTGCTATTGGAAGATGTGGAAACTTTTAAGAGATGGGGCCTAGTGTTGGGGGGTATTTAGGTTATTGGGGGCATGTCCATGAAGGGGATTGGGGACCCTGTTCCTTTCCTCTCTCTTTCACTTCCCTGCAGTGAAGTGAGGTGAGCAGTCCAGTTCTGCTCCACCTTGCACTCCTGGCATGACGACTCCTACCTATACAGGCCCTAAAGTAAGGGGGCCAACTGACCATGGACTGGAACCTCCACAGCTGGGAGTTAAGTAAACCCTTTATCTTTACAAGTTCCTTTCTCAGGTATTTGTAATAGTTAATGGAAAGCTCTCACCAGAAGGGAAGAGCATTTGTCAATATTCAGTTGTTTTATACATTTTGGGATGTATAAGAGATGGTGACTCATCAGATAAATGGGATTTTGTGAATTTTCATGGAACATTTCAAAGACATTTGTGCAATTTAAACACGGTACTGAGGAAAACCAGTTAAAAAATCTCTAAGTAGAATCAGACTACAATCTGGAAATTTCGCTAAATTGCATCACACTTGCAAAGAGCTGTTAGTCTATTTCTGAAAAGGCCCAGAGCATATTCAGATGTTGGAAGTCCTCCTGAAACAATGTGTTGTGTGACAGATACCAAATCACTGTTTCCTGATCTCACCTGTTTCTTAGCCACTCTCAGCCCCCAAGGCATTATTCTTTCCATTGTTTTATTATCCTGCAGTGTGCAGTTGTTCATTTTCTTTCTTCTTGGATTCTTTTATTATACTCCCACTTTTCGGAATAAGTGTTGTTGCCCCCTCAGTGTGGCAGCCACAGAAAATCCACACACCTGAACCAGTTTGTTTATGGCAGAATTCTTCAAGGTAAGATATCTTAGTATCACCTGGGGAAGGTGTTAGCAAGGCATAGTTTCAGGCTTTGTGGCACAGGCCTCAGGAAACAGAAATTCTGCAGGTGGGGCTTAGCAATCTGTTTTTATTAACCCCTCCAGACAACACTGAGACGCACTCAATGTTGAGGACCACTGGTCTATGGAGATAGATCCTGTCCTCAATCAGAGAGGTTGAGATTTGGGAGTGGTTGGCTAGAAAGCAGAGAAATCATGAGAAGCAAGTGTTGTCGCCTGGAGTGAATCACTTACCTCTCTAAGCTTTGTCTTTGAGGTGAGACAGTTGGACTGGTCAGCAATTCCAGCTAGAGACTCACACAGGAGGATAAGATGTTTGTCACTTTTTTGTAATATTTCAGAAAGCTTCATGGAAATTTTATTTCCCCTTAATATTCTGCATGGACTGACTAACATAGCCCATTTGCGATTTTGGGGCCAAATTAAGCTGTGACCTTTGTGGTCATTCACGTTCATGTTCTTAGGACTTTTCACAGGCTCTGGCCTGATGAGAATCATTTACTGCTTTCAGACTAATTTTCATAAAATAATTGTTAAAACAGACCATATTCTGTGCTATCAGAAGTGCTGATGTTCTCCAGCATGTCTGTCATTTGTTGCAGTGTCATAGTCCCACAAACATTAAAGGATATTTAAGGCAGAGACCAAGTAGCCTCCACCTTAAACTTGGCTAGATAATGTTCCCAGGGACATTCCCATGTGCTTATTCATCAATCTGTATGGCTTCAATTATTTATGACTTTCTGCTAAAACTGGATGCTGTTCCTCTAGCCCTGTAAGATCCATCTGGGTCACTGGCAGAACCCTACTGTGTCCGTGTGTGCAGTAGGCTTACTGGCAGTAGACAGTTCAGCAGTGGGGCAGGGAAATCACATTTTAACAGATGGACTCGCTGGGGGTGGTGTCCTGCAGGCCACATGCGAGAACTTGAGGTGGTGCCAAGAACCTCCCAATGCCTTGACAGAAGCCTTCTTCCTCAGTATTATCATTGGAACCTTTGGTTTCTCCTTCAGTCCTGTGTGTTGTGAAGGGGAACGGGTTGAAGGCCTCTCTCACTGTGTTGGCCTGTTGGAGGGAGGGGCAAGAGAGAAGAAGCCTGCTTTTCCAGAAGGGAAGTGAATCAGCAGGGCATTGGCTTCCTTCAAACTAATTACTGCTTGTTGGCTTATGAGTCTGTCCAATCCAACAGCTACCCTTTTAAAGTCTGAATGCCAGGGTTAGAACATGAAGGGGCAAGAGAACAGACCAAACCTGTATTAGTTCACAGAACTCCAAATCTTTATTAATCACAGCTTGCTCACAATGACATACAGGAAAATAGCACTAATGAAGAGTAAATATGCAGGCAGCAACCTTCAGGAGTTGGGAGTTAGGAGTTGGGGGAGAAATGACTTCAAAACTGCGATAGGTACTTATGGTAGGTATTTGGTGATTCTCTTAGTTGGCACAAATGCCCTGCCTAGCCCCCCTTAACTGTGTCAGTTTCACAGATGGAGTGATTTATATTTATATATACACATATATATATATACATATATATGTGTATATATATATATGTATATATAGGCAGGATTGCCTCACACTGGGGAAGAAAGACCAGCTTGAGTGAAAGTCCGCAGTGTTTTTGATTTGTTTGTGTTTGTTTTAATGCAACAACCAGCTCACAGTTTCCAAGTGGAAAAATATTCAGTAGCATCATGTACTTGTACTATAGGTAAAAGCTTAAAATGAACATCAACCATGGCATCCACAAATAAGCCACCTGACACAGTAATTAATTCATTCCATCAAAAGAACTGAAACTTGAGAAGTAAGCCCACTTCATGAAGAGGGATTTCACGGCTGCTTGAACTATTGGGTTTGGATTTATGTTCAGCATTCTAAAAGGTTCAACTTTATGCTTCTACCCAGATTGATCTCAGATCTGTCTTCTCATCCATCCCTTTCTAAAGCCAAAGCACATTTGTAGCACATAATCCAGTAGAAGCAGAAGTAAATGCTATGATTGGTGGATTTTTCTTAGCCTGGTTTTGTAGTTTCTAGGCAGTAAGTAGATTATGAAGGAACAAATGTGGAGGTTCACGTGGAGTCACAATACCTGGGATCTAGGTATGGTCCTAGTCAAGCTCAGAAATGACAAGGTCATTTAGGTCATTAGGCAATGGTGGGTTTCTAGCACCATAGACTGTCTACTGACCTCATTTTTCTGTTGGAATGAAAAGGGCAGGGAATGGAGTTAGACATGGGGAGCTTCAAAAAGAACAGACTTAGCAAATTCATTTGAGTGGAAAGACACGACATCAAAAGCCTGTTACAGGACATGTAAGATTATGAAATAACTTGCATAATGCAATACTTGTATTTTTTAACAAAAATGTAAGTATTTACAAAATAAGATCCAAGGTATTTTTTAAACATCAAGCAAAACATTCTGCAAAGAGACCGCATTGATTTTTTTATTTTTGATTCTGTTTTTTTTATAATGAGTTCTTTTTAAACCATGTCATACATTTCCCATACTGATATCGCATGATCCATTATAATATAGGCAGGGGATTTACTATTGGTGGGGCGTGCCATACCCTCCATCGCTTCAGCCAGACAGTTCAACCTGGAGTTCCTTGTTCCTGCGCACCTCCGCAGCATGTCTCTCCTAGAAAACACCAAAGGGAGAAGAGTGTGTCACAGAGCCTTGTGCAGTCCATGGAGAATCAAGGTGGCCTGTTCTTTCCTCTGCTTTTAACATCTGTTTGGCTGGAAGTAACCTAGTTTGGTGTCTACCTAAAGGCAGGAATTTCTAAAGGAACTTTTCCCATTTCACAAGAAAGGAAAACATGGGCCCTGAGAAATGTCACATTAGAAGATTTTATAAGATTTATAGTGATTTTTTTTTTCTTTCCCCAGTGCTAGATCTTGAGCGCAGGGCCTTTCTTGCACGTTAGGTAAGTGATTTACCACTGAGCTACATCCCAAGCCCTGGATTTACAGTGTCTTTAAAAGACATTCAACACTGTTTTTGGTTAAAGTTAGGACAAAAAGGTCCAATGTCTAATAGAATGTTGAATATAATGACTTCTGTATAAATTCTGAGTATAGTGATAAAAATCACGTTGCTGGTTTCTCTGTCATTTCAGTGGTGTCTTTCCTTTCCCTAGCATTTTAAGGAATTTATAATCACTGGTAAATGCTTTGGAAAGATTAGATTGAGGAAGAAGCCCTTTTGTGCTGTGCTTCCTGATCTCTTGGTCAAGAGCATCAGTCCAATGGCTGTCCACACTTTACTACGCATGCTTGACGATTCAGGTTAGTGAGACTGTCTTTCCCTGTGAGATTCTTAATCTTCCAGTGCCACTGGTCAAGATCATAAACTTACTCTTTTAGCCATGTCACAGTTGTCCCTTTCTTTATAAAGATTTTTATGAGGCCACAAACTAACTTTATCTTACTTTCCATCTGAACACTTGCATAAATAAATATTTCCTACCATGTGGCAGTCTTTTTTTTCTAATTTAGGAGAATTCTGTTCTTTCTCATTTGCTTATATTTGATTACATAAGCTTGCTGAGGGCGTGGACTGTGATTTTTCGTTTCCGTTCCACTTGCAAGCCTGATAGTTTGCTTTGTACTCAGTACATGGTTAGTGGATATTTATTTACACAAGGAACCAAGAAACTCATCAGTCTTAGGTTGGGAACTGAACTCTGGGTCCAGTATTTTTCGGTACATGACGTGTACTGGATGACTAGCAGCTCATGGAGTGACACAGAACAGTTATTAAAACTTCATTAATTGAATTTTAGAATGCTTGTTAGTAGTAGTATTTTATTTTCTATTTAGAACATTGTTTGTATTGCTTTTTCCCCATTTAGTTTCCTTTAGTTCAGGACTAATAACCTTGAGCAGCTATAAAATAAATCATATTAAACTCTATTTACTTCAAGGAGTCTATATATCTAGGGTTCTTTATAATGAACACTTATTAAGCACTTAATTTGCACCAGGATTTCATTACTACAGTTTTTTGCCTGTGTTAATTCCTTAAATTTACCCCATGTTCAAGCCCTGAATCCTTAGGTGGATATTATCCAATCACCCCCATGTTACAGATGAAGAAACTGACACATAGAATCGATAACTTGCCTAACTTCACCACAGATAACAGGTGGCAAGCTGAGATTCAAACCCAGAGAGCTGCACAGTACAGCCCACTCCCTCAACCTCTGCTATGCCATCTCAGTGTTAGTATGAGGAGACAGCTGTTCAGGAAGGTGGAAAAATGTGTCTTTTCAAGTGTAAGTTCAGGGAGAAAAAAGTCTAGAGAGCTCAATACTTCCTCTGAAGGCAGAATTGGAGGAAGCAGGAAGTTGACTCTAGAGAAAGAGTTTTAAAGCAATTTTATTTAATTGGCATAAATGAGCTTTTTATATATGTTCAAAACTGTAACGAGAAGGAAAAAAGGCATGCATAGAGAAATCAACTCCCATTTGGAAATGTCATGGGGCGGCGGGGGGGGGTGAAATCAGCTTGGATTCAGCTGACTCTTCTTTTTGTTCTGTTATTATGAAGAAACAGATACAGCAGGATCTTTTTCTCATGCAGGAAGAGATTAATTAGTGCGAGCTGAGCTTAGAAAAATTGAGACACAGCCTCAACCATCACTATGCTAGAAAAAGAGAGCCTCAAGTTTAAGGATTAATGCAGGAAACACTGTAATTAGTATTATTAGTCTACTTTGGAGTACATTTCTTACACTCCACATTAGTTATAAAGCAATGGATTTGCCATAGGAAAAAAACCAAATGTAATCTGAATTTGAGATCACATGAAAAAAGGAAATTTAAATAAATTCTTCTGATTTCTAAGAAAATACTGTTTATTTTCAGGCACTTTAGTTAATCTATTATTTGAAAAGTTTATACTCAAGCTAACAAATATATATTCATGACATGTAAATGTGACTTTATAAAATGTGAGAGAACCAAAAGCAGACATGCAGAGGCATGTCATTGTCGCAGAGCGTGTTTTTATATCAGCAAACACTAAGTTCCTTAAGAACACTATTCTGCGGTAGTACCCATCTCAGTGTTGAACTCATAATATTTGCCAGCCACTGTGAGAGGCCCTGCGCCAGACAGGACCACATATATCGAAATTTACGCTCTCTGCAATTTACTACCATTCTCCCCCATTTCCAGTTTGAGGGAAATGTAACTGTTCCTTTGATATGGAAAAATGTATGAAGGGTGATTTTAGGAAAAACTCTGCTCATCTGCAAAATGTAATTCAGTAGAAAGGTTCCTCTACTGGGAGGTAAGAAATGCGAGGTCTTTCTTTTTTCCCCTTTATGTCCTTTTAAGGTCACTAGGTATCCAGTATAAACAAGGGCTTGAACTAGATAACAAAGGGTATCAATTCTATGAAATTCTGTTATCTGAGCCTATTTAAACTGCAAGGTGAGGTCAACTTCGGGCATCCTTGTTTTCAGCAGTGACTGTGCCCTGCACTGTGAAAGAGGGGTCAGGAGTGAGTTGTAGCCCAGAAAGCTTCCATTTTCATAGACCAAGATGATGGTGGTCGGGGGGGTCATGGATTATGGAGTGTAACTCCTGATACTTCTACCAGTGTGGCTTACAGCGTAAGGTTTGTGACTGACAAAGAGTAACAGCTTTAGCTTTGTATTTAAGTCTGGAACCAAAAAGACTTGCATTCAAATCTAGACTCTGCAGTCTCCTTGGCTTTGTGATCTTGGTCAAATGACTTAACATCTCTAAAGATCAGATTCCATAGAGTTAATGGGGATAATAAAAGCATTTCCTGTTTGCATTGTTCTATGGATTAAATGTAAGAGTAGATGCAAAAATGTGTGCCTTATAATGAGTAGTCATGAAGGCTAGCTTTAATCTTCCCCTTTCATTATTCACTCATCAAACATGAATGACATAAATGGTTATACCAATGATACTCGTGAATCAGACCGACAAGAAAACAAATAAGGTCAGATGAGAAGAATGAGTCACAGCATCTTACTCCCTTAGGAAAAATATTTTTTAAAATCATTTTAACCTCCATAATACTAAGTGATGTATAACCATTAAAATAATGGCTATAGTGAATTTTAGACATTTGCTATATAGCTAAATGTGAAATTACCAAGCACACTGAAAACATGGCTTTTATTTTCTCTAGTCTGTATTTTGTAGTTGGAGAGGGTAAACTAGTTGTCTTGATTGTCTGGGTTATCTGCTGCTCTCACTCCTGAAAGCTCCTTTGGTGTTTGCTATGACATGATGAGGTGGGACAAGTGAATTTTCTGCAGGCTGCTGCGGAGTGCTTGAGGGGAGGAAGGAAGTTATCTCTTTTGTCATTTTTGCCTGGCAAGTACAGGTGTTTTCCCTAGTGTGGCAACCTTGACGTGGATTTACTTCTACTGGTATGCTGGTATGCTTCAGTGCCTTTGTGTTTACGGCGACTGGGCCATGCTATGTGAAGTCTTATTCTTGAATGTTTGGTGTTCTGTCATTTATTGCTGGATTTTATATGGTCTGTGTGGGAAAGAGTTAGTTGGTAAATCTTTTCTTTTTCGTTTTCGAGGTAGGGTTTTACTACTGCCAAGTACTGAGATTACAGATGTGTGTTACCACACTGGCTGGTAAATGTCTTTGGACGTCTCCTAGATTCCTAAGTAGGGAATCCACAAATACTTATTGAATGATGAATTCATTAATATATGTCATTTCTGAAGTAATTGTCTTTTGAACTGGCAGATTTCAGAAAAGCTTGTGCTCTACTGCCAGCTCAAGCCTTTTCACATTACTGTTGTTACGGATCCTCTTTTTAATTTTTAATTTCATAGGAGTAATTTCCCTTAAATAAACAAAATTACTTTGCCTTATTTTAGGAAGAAGAAAAGCAGTTTTTGTATACCCAGACAGATATGACATGTAAAAAAGCAGTTTTGAATCAAATCTATAACCTGTTTACAATATATTTAATGTAAATAAATTCAGTACTTCCTAAGAATATTGCCACTTCATGGAGAAGATAAAAGGTCTTAGCTGACAATGGTCAAACATCCATTAGATTTGAAGAGCATCTCTTTAGCTATGGAAGACCAAGAAAAGCATGGTCCTAGAAATGGCCTGGGCTGACTCATTTGATACGAGATAGAATACTGTCTGCTGAGATTTAAATCAGAACAGACTACAAACCATGAGTCTCAAACCAGGTTATATATTGGAGTCATGGAGAGATTAAGAAAAATGGGTACGAGTTCCATCCTGGACATCCCACGGCTTTGTGCCAGAAATTAAAACCCTTCACAGGTTGGTTATTTTCAGAAAGAGTTTTGTATAGAAATGCGTGCATGTGTGTGTAAGGGGGACATGCGAGTGCAGAAAGGGAACAGGGGATTGGTGGAGATAAAAACACTCACAGAGAAAAATTAATTCCTATTAAAAGCCAGCATTTCTGGAAAGAACAGTTAAAATATGCAATTTTATGAACTACTTTCTACTGAAATCAGGAGGGAGATGCTATGGACATGCATAAGTGTTATTCAAAAACATAATGCTACCGGACTGCCAATGATATAAATTTTGCACTGGACACTAATGGTGTCATTAGAGTGCCGGAGGAAGAGCAGCATGTTCCTTTCCTAGCCACTCCACTTGCTTTTTATTAAGGACTTAGGATGTGAGCTGAAGGTTGAGTCGCAGTTATCCACACACAGCACACAGTGGCTCTCTGCTTTCTATAGTCCAGCTCTGGCCGAGCAGCAATCTCCCCAGTTCTCTAGAAAAGTGTGAACCGAGAGCAAATGGAGAACTGACTGGGTCAAGGTCATGGGAGTAAATTTTAGCAAGTGAGTTTGCTCTCCTGTATCTCAGTAAAGCACTTGTTTTGGTACCACCCATGTAACCTGCTGGAAGCCAAATTCTGTTGCTTATTCCAAGTTTTCTCCCAAATGTGACCTGACACATTTGGGAGAAAAACGATGGCATAATTCTGAGAGCATGGTAACACCATCTCATAAGTGAAAATTTAATCTCACTTTCAGGTTTTGCCCAAAGCCCCCAGTGGGTATTCTGGCTCCTGCCCAAGTCACTAGGACTTGTCCACACCCCTCTTAGAGCCCCAATGTGTCGAGCCTATACACCTTTTCCAGCAATGCTTTCAAAAATTCCTCAAGAGCACAGAACCTGTGAAAACCTCCATGAAATTACATTTTGAAAAGGTTTTATCTGGGAGTGGTGGCGCATGCCATTCAGCATTGGGGAGGGTGAAGCACCAGGATTATGAGTTCAAGGCCAGCCTGGGCTACATAGTGAGACTCAGTCTCAAAAAACAAAACCAAAGACTTTTTGCCTGATTTCCTTTGGTCTTAAGCTGATACTGGTCGTCAGAGAATGGGAGTGGAAATAAGGAGTTACCAGAGCTTCAGAAAAAGGCTGCTTGGACCCTCCATGAGATGGCCCAACTCTAACAGAAGACATGAGGCCTCCCAAGAAATATTGGAAAAATAGGGAGCTGATCTGTCTCAACTGGCGGTGCTCTGATGACAGGGATTCCTGCTTCTCTTCTTATCTTCAGTGCCTGACACAAAACATCTTTCCTTACTGAAGGGGGAGGGTGCCAGGAAGGGATGGGTGCATCTTTCTCAAAGTTCTTACTTCTCAAGCTTAAGCCAATTTCTGGAAACGAGAAAGCTAACTACCCAATTGTAACTACTACAATCTCACAGGAAAGGTTATTTATTTGGGGGGATGTGTTGGAGGGAAGATGGCACAGAGCCTGAAAAATAGGAAGAGAAAACATTTTCAGAGGAACTCTAGCACGTCTCTTCCTGACTGATGGGAATGGGAACATGTGCAGAGCGGTGAGGGGAAAGATACAGGGTAGCACAACCATAACCCCTTTGTTTTGGTTGCGTGTAGAATTACTAGACCCCAGATTTTCTCAGATTTTCCCACATGGAAAAAGTGGCCTTTTCTGACAAATGCATTTTTCCTATTTTATATATATATGTAGTACATGCATTACTCAATGAAATATTTATATTTTATATTATATTAATATTCTGTAGTAGTATAACATGAATATAATAAATATTTAGTATTTTAAAATTAACATTTTCTCAATACCAATCTATTGGGATTTCTTAAGATTTGTACAGAACATTTTAAGAGCATGAATTAACCCTCATGAACCTATCCAGCAAAAATTTGTGTTAATGTTGGATTCCATTTTTTCTACTATGCTGTACCTCCAACTGAGTCGATGCTACATGTTGAGACCCAGCACATGGGTTAGGTGTGCTCACACTTGTAGCAAATTTTGCTCTTGTATTTGGGAACATAGGGGTTCACCCAGCTGTGTTCCATATAACTGTGTCCAACTGCCCATCTGCTCAGGAATCTGTTGTGATTACCTTTTCCTGCAGACGTTCAATAATAGCAGCTAGATTAGCCTCACGATTTTCCTTAATTTGTTCCATTTTCAGGATCAGCTTTTCTTCTGCCATCTTGCTGAAGTTGTTATTCTCCTCCAAAGCCTTCTGAAGGACTTCTCGCTCATGCTCCCTCTTCTCTGCCAACTGTTTCAGCACCTGGGCCTCCTGAGACTGGGGAAGAAGAACATATCCATCTTATAATCATCGAATGCCAATCTGGCATAACAGTGCACAGATTTGAGGGAATGCTCTTCTCAAACAAATGGCACTTGTAGGTTTGAGTACTGAGGTCAATTTTGTACTTGTCTGCACAGCTACAGTTTTCTATAGAATGTGGTTAGCAGGGAAATGTGGCTAGCTAAATTTCCAGCTGTGATTTTTGTTTTGACAGATTGTGTTAGAAGAAGCATTTAATCATCACTGAATTTTTTTAAAAAGAAGTTGCTGCTAAGCATTTATGCAATAGGAAGTGCTTTAATTAATCACTAGATGACAACATCTCATCAAAACCTGAGGACTGGGGCCAGTTTTTCCTTTTCCTTTTACCCTTTTCTTGCTCCATTGTCTTTTGACCAGCTAAAGGTTGGCTGTAATCATTAAATCATCAAATTCACTTTCTTTTTTCTCCCTGAGCTACATTGTCTTTGGAGACTTGAAAACAGTACATACTTAATGTCCACTTGGCCACAGCCTGCAGAAAGTCCCTATTCTGACCTTCACTTGAACATTCTGGGTAATCACCCAAACCCTGTGCTTGCTCTGTGATTAGAGCAGAAACAACAGTCAGATGCACCTCCTTCAGCCCTCCCCATTTCGTGCACTGTCATTCTCCAGCATCAGAAGGCTGTACGGCTCTGTGTATGTCATCACTGGTGGGTCTTGGTAAAAATGCAGATACAACTGTCTACCTCCGGAGAGTTGATTCCAAGGTTCTTTAGGGAGGCCCAGAAGTGTACATTTTTTGATAAACAGCCCCAGTGCATTGGGGCTGCATTGGTAACTCTGGATTTCATTTCTCCTCCATACTGTGCAGCTAAGAGAAATCTTACCCAACACTGACTTATCCAGGTTTAAGATTAAATTATTACACACTCATTATTCCCAGGCAATTCCTTAGGACTGGCTGACACTCTGAGGTTTGCCTTTCCTAGAGTGAAGGCTCTAAACAAGGATATCTAAACAACTGTAGAGCAAAAACAATTCTTAAGTAGCTGGGGGCTGGTGGCTCATACCTGCAGTCCTAGCTACTCAAGAGGCAGAGATCAGGAGGATCATGGTTCAAAGTCAGCCTGGGCAAATAGTTTGAGAGACCCTATCTCAAAAAAAACCTTCACAAAAAAAAGGCTGGTGGAGTGGCTCAAGGTGTAGGCCCTGAGTTCAAACCCAGTACCACAAAAAAGAAATTTCTAAGTGACCTGTTAAATACTGATTACCACTGAAAATATTAATAGGAAAACATTTTAGTCGAAGATAGTGGTTTATTAGAAAAGGTAATGCATGAGCAAGAGTGGCCTAAAAAGGGAAGAAGCTTCTCTTCATCCAGAATCCTACAGGAATGGTGAAGACAGGCAGCTTTACGAGTCTTGGTTGATAGATTTATTCTGAAGTTTATCCAGAATAGGCCTGTGGCTCATTGGAGCTTAGCCTGGCTTCTTGCTGTAGCCCTGTAATGGTTTCACTGATATTTTTTAGCAGACTCCTCACATTGTTTCTTTGTTTTAGCTTGCAGGAAAACTAATATGAAAAATATTGAGAAAATGGTCACAGAAACGAGCAAAACTGAATAAAAGCTTTCTGGAAAGAATTTCTAGGTGGTTCATTCTTCTGCCTGTAGGCGGGGCTGTTGATAAAGCAGTCTACAGAGATTTTGCTCATGTGCTGTTACAGGGACTACTGGGGGAGGGGAGAGAGAGTGAATGACAAAATGACAATGAATATTCAGGGGTCCTCATGGTTGAGGGCAGCCTGAGTCTTTCCCTAAAATTCCCTCACCCCCACCGCATACATGTCTACTGAAAGGGGCCCTGTTGACAGGAAATCTCATAGTGAAGTGAGCCCACAAAGAAAGAAGAGGAAGCAACTTTTCAGTTCTTTGTTTCAGAAAACCTCCACGGAACCTCAGGCTGGAGGAAAGGCTGGGTTAGTCCCAAGAATTAGGGATTGGATGGAAGCCTAAAGCATCTCTTCTAACATACACAATCTGATGGAGACAGCTTGGGGAAATAAAACAAAATTAAATAAATCAAAATAGAGCAAAGCAAAGCTTAACTTTTGAAAAATCCTCCAGTGTGGAATGTTTCTCTGAGCAACAGGGGCCCATGGACCACAGCTGCTAAAGGCAGCAGGAGTGAGATTCTGCCCTATGTTGGCAGTTCCTTCCCTCCCCTTTTCCTACTGGACTGGAGTTTCCAGTTCTGCCTGACAGGATCCAGCTGGCTTTGCCATGGCCATTTGTTCAAGCAGCCTTTCAACAGGAGCTTCTGTGCACAGGGAAATGAGCCCTAGCCTGGTGTTCAGAAAAGCCATGCTTGTGTCCTGCTTTATGCAGTGCAGGACCACAAGGGAGTTGTGGAGATGGGTTTCACTGCAAGGGACCCTGTGCCTGCTGCTGTTCCTGCTGGCTCCACTGATCAGGAAGCCTGCAACTGCTGAATTTTGCATTTCTGGAAGCTCAAATTAACTTTGGCACCTTATTCAGTTGTGTTTTAACTTCATGGTTGTAGTTGATTGTCAATTCTTTGTGAAAGAGCCAAGGTCAGGAGGAGACAGTATGGGAAGAGAATAGGGAAGGGAAGGCTTTGAAATGAAAAGAGTAGTACAACAATGCATAGCTTTTCAAGTTTCTAGCTTTGGTGGGACACATTTGGTCATGTGAACAAATGCTCCCACAGCTCCCCTAGGAGTCATGGAGAATTCCCATTGTAGGTTGTACTTACTGCATTTTCTGGAGTGCAGCAATTGGCTAGTCTTGAAATGCCTCAATTTGTGGAGTTAGTACTTTTGCAGCCATTGGGGCTGAATGAGATGAAATGGCATTTTCTTTTTTAAAATAATTAGTGGGGTGATGCAGAAACAGAAGGCAGTACAGAGTGTTACTATGCAAGTCTCCTGCTAGCTGACAAAGAGGTGCCAGGCCCACCAGGGCTGCTCACTTCTAGGATGCCTTTTCCTACACACTGGAAGGAATGCTGTATTGACCACTGTGTCAACTAATGCATTTGTGAACTCCAACAATTGTCTATGTTTCAAATGTTTAACGCTCAAATCCATGAAAAAAATACAAGATGTGGAGTCAATTATAGAGGAAGGCCTTCTTCACTGAGAAAATACTTACGGCTCCCAATTTTGGTGCCTATTGGTAAGTAGTCAATTATCAAACAAATTCTGCTGTGGAGCCAGTAGGCATGGGGCCTTGACCTCAGCTCCTAAGGTCTGTATAGCTGTCCTGGTGCAGAAACTCGCTGTCATCACTTCCTTTTCCAGTTTAGCACCCAGCTATTTCTGCTTACAACGCCTGCAGCTTTATTCCTGGGGAAAAAACTGATTCTCACATGAATATAGGTTCTTTCAGAAATTTTTTTAGTGGTAAAACAATGGCTTTTTTAGAGGTGTGGGGTTTGAACCCAGGTCCTGTGCTTGCTATTCCACACTACTTGAGCCACACAGCTGGCCATTTTTTGCTTTGATTATTTTTCAGATAAGGTCTCACATTTTTGCCAGTCTCCTGCTTCAGACTGTGGTCCTCCTACCTATGCCTTCCTGATAGTTGGAAGGCAGCTGAGTTCACCACTGTACCACCAATGCATTCATCTCTCCTATAGTTGAGACCACAGACTTGAACCACTATGCCTGGTTTATTGATTGAGATGAGGTCTCAATAACTTTTTGCTTGGAATGGCCTTGAACCAGGCCTCCTGATCTCCACTTCCTGAATAGCTGGGATTATAGTTGTTACCCACCAAGCCCAGCCTCAAATACAGTATCTTCCAGTTACACCATCAAGGAAGAAAATTGGTTTTGATTCCAGGATTTGTATCAATGAGCAAATAAGCACTTTGTACAGAAAATTGTGACCAAAAGAAAACATGTGGTAGACAAAACTGCAAGTATTTTCCTTCATTTCTGTAGAAGTAAAGTTCTTACTACATGTTCAAATACGTATTCTTACTTTATAACTTGGTTGAGCAGATTAGCAGACATGAATCTCACTGTGTGGATTCATAAGGAGGCTGAGAGGTAGAATTCATTAAAAGTTGCTAAAAATAAATTGTTAAAGGATAAAGTTTCTGAAAATACAAACACTATCAATATACATATATACACAGAGCATGTTCCCAATAGTGGGACTGTTAGAGGAGACTAGGGGAGGAGGGAAAGAAGAAGTGAATCATACTGAAATGCATCACTTCTGTGTAGGAATAAGACACAATGGAACACACTGAAAAGGAACAACATGGGGAAGAGGGAAAAGGGTAAGGAAGAGTAACAGATGGGGTTAGACTGGTTGAAGGACAACATATTAACAGGTAAAATACCAAGGCAAAACCCCACTGAACGATGAACAGACACTAAGACAATGAAGGACAGGAATGCAGCACAGGTGATGACAGGGGAGAGCAGTAACATGAGCGAGAGGGCAAATGAAGAGGGTAAAGGAGGGTGAGCATGGAACATTGAAATATGTCATTTTAAGAAGGGGGAGGGGAAGGAGGGAGAATAATGGAGGGGATGAACCAAACTGGGGTTCAATGTATGTGTATATAGAAATGTCAGAATGAACCCCCTTGTACAACTATTTTACAGTAACAAAAACATGAAGAGAAGGATAAAGTATCTGACTTTGGAAGAACATTTCTGCAGAGCGTGTGCCTAATACAGAAGGTCACTGAAACACTGAAATGGCAAATTGGGGCAAGGTGATGATCAGCTGATGTAAATGCAAATGTCAAGGCAAAATATAGACCTGAGATGTTCAATGTGACGTCCTGGGAGACTAGAAAGCCTCCTCCGTCTGACTGTTACAGAAACTGAGGCACATCCTGGGTGAACACCTTTTTGAAGCGTAAACTTCACATGGCACTGAGGATCACGGGAATAGTTGCATGGGGGAGGTCCATGAGGGGGAAGTAATGAGACAGGGGAGAGAGTTATTGTACATTCAGGAGTACTTT